GGAAGGAAGGAAGGAAGGAAGGAAGGAAGGAAGGAAGGAAGGCAATATTAGAAAACTAGGCTCAAACTGGGAATGTGAAGAGCTGTTTTTAGCAGAATTAAAATGTTTTTTGGCATTTTTGTGGAGTCAGTATTGACTCCTGGTGATTGCTTGGACAAGTCCCTGCAGTTTTCTTGGCAAGGTTTTTCAGAAGTAGGTTGCTATGGTCTCTTTCCTAAGAATGAGAGAGAATGACTAGCTCAAGGTACCCAGCTGACTTCATAACTAAAGCAGGACTAAAACTCACAGTTTCTCAGTTTCTAACTTGGTTTCCCAACCGTTACACCAAACTGGCTCTCATTTTTGGCACTACCAAATATAAAGAGAGAGAGCAAAACTGTTTTGCTCTTTTGCACCCCTCTTTTGTAATCTTCTCTTAAGAAAAAAAAAAACAGTGCCAGGGACACAACTGCTATGAACCAATCATTTGACTACAATTGCAACAGGTAAGGTTACAATAACAGATGATGCTTCTATTAATGGTCTAATTTCCTTCACAGAGCTCAAGACGGTATACATAGAATTCAGAGCAATCTCAAAGTGAGGCTTCCTTAATATCAGCAAATTTGATGAGGCCTCCTTAATATCAGCAAATTTGATATATCACATATCCTGTGATGCTGAACCTACGGCATATGTGCCAGAAGTGGCACACAGAGCTCTCTCTGAAGGCACCTGTGCCATCGCCAGATGCTCTTCTGGTTTCTGGAATGCACTTGCGCGCCAGCCAGCTGGTGTTCACAGACACCTGAGTGCTGGAAAACAGCCTGAAAATGGCCCCCAAAAATGCCCTCCAAAAGACTGTTTTCGGTCTGGTTTTTTGGCCATTTTTGGGTCCGTTTCCAGATCTGTTTCCGGGCCATTTGCAGGCTGTTTTGGGGGGCCATTTGTGGGCTGTTTCCAGGCCACTTTGGGGGCTGGAAAATGGCCGGAAAAGAGCCTGAGAAACGACCTGAAGATGGCCCCCAAAAAACCCTGAAAATGGCCAAAAAAGGAGGCATGCGCATGGCGGTCAGTTGGTGTTCACGAGCGCCTGAGCGCTGGAAAACAGCCTGAAAATGGCCCCAAAAATAATCAAAAAAGAGACTGTTTTAGGGTCGTTTTCCAGGCCGTTTCTGGGCTGTTTTAGGCCATTTTGGGGGATGGGGAACAACCTGAAAACAGCCTGAAAATGGCCCCCAAAATGTCCTTAAAAACAGCCTGAAAACATCCTGAAAAACAGCCAAACCCTAGTTTGGGTTTCTAGTGCTCCGGCAAGTGCGCATGCATGCACATTCCAGTTTGGGCACTTGGTGCCGAAAACGTTTGCCATTAGTGCCCTAAGATAGACCCCTGGACCAAAGGTATTCATTAGAAGTGATTAAGGGATCAAAGATTACCATTGTTCTATAAGGAAATGACTTTTAAAGTTATCTGCTGTCTCACACACGATTTTGTATAAAGCATAGCTCAGATTTGCCTGTGTTGAATGTCTGGAGGTGAGAGGGATAGGAGATTACCTGTCTCTGGAGTCTCAGCACATGAAACTGTTCCTCGGCTGTCGCTATAATCACCACATCCAAACTAACATTGCCAGTGGAAACATTTTGCAAGCGCAGCCATATCCACAGACCAGTTCCAAACCCACCTAGGAGTTACCTCAATTCTTTTTTCATACTTCTCCCCTTTGATGAGACGATGGACGTAGATTTTGGGGACATGGATATCTTCAGGGTTAAATGACCCTACATCAACAATTTCTTCTACCTGAAATAATAGAAAGATAAGAAAGATAAAGAAAGAATTTAGTGCATTATGCCACATGATTTCGACAAGAATAAGGAGAGTGCAGTTTTCTCTTATTTAGCCCTCTCTTCCAGATGTGCTAGTACTACAATGTCGAGAAATATTAGCACGGACAGTCCAAAGTTCTGCTTGCTAGGAATTATGGGAGTTGTCAAACTGGCGGCCCGCAGGCCGGATGCATCAGGCACAGGCCACGCCCATCCCAGCTCCACAAAGGTAAAAAAGTCAAGGGACATCACGTGATGTGATTGAGCTTGACACATGTGGTCTGCCAGATAGATCTGAATAGTAGAGTCTTGTCAGAGATCTAGCTAAATATATTGCAGCAATGGGGCACCATTCAATTTTATAAGTGTTGAGTTGAAATTCTATGCATTTCTATTGTGTTCAAGTGCTTTTGGTTAGGCACAAAATGCACCCAATTATTCTTGGCACCAATACTATTTTCTTTTTTCACATTCATTCTATTTAAAGATCTTTATATTTCCTTATTTTTAAATCTTTTTAAATGATTTTTTGTCCTGTCTATTAATTTCATAAATAACTCAAAATGGCAAACATATCTAGTATGTTCCTCCTCCTATTTTCCCCACAAGAACAACAGCCCCCTAAGGTGAGTCCGACTGATATAGTGTGACTGGCCCAGCTGGCACTCACAACTAAATCTCACAGTCTCCTAGTTTCTAGGCCAGTTGCATCACCATTAGATCCAACCAGATCTCTTTTCTAGTTCTTTCCCAACTATTTCCCTTCTATTCCAATGACTGCAGTGTCAATTATACATGAGTGCTTCTTCATAACAGGAATCATATATGGTTTATTATGAGTTAAATGCTTATCAGTTTGTATCTGGAAGTTTTGAAGGTTCTTAATCAGTGGTGGGTTGCAATTTATTTTACTACCAGTTCGCTCGTGCGCACTCACATGATGCTTCTGCACATGCGCAGAAGCATCCGGGCAAGTGGGTGGAGCCTCCCGCCACCACCACTACCGGTTCGCCCAATCCGGGGTGAACTGGCAGCAACCCACCTCTGTTCTTAAGCTCTTTGTTCTCAATCACTTTTTCAATATTGCGATTCTACCAATTATTTCCATTTAATTTATAATTAGGTAATAACTTCCAATGAATGATTCCAATGAATGAAAATGGCCTCTTTATTGTGTCTTTACAAATATACCACCTGTACCATATTCTTACTTCCATACTTAAGTGATTTAAGACTACAATTGGGACCAGAATTTCAACAAGTGCAAGTGTCAGAATTCAGGGGAAAAAGGTCACAAACAACAATCACATGACTTCAGGATGCTTCAACTAGTCCTAAATATGAGCCAATTGCCAAGTACATATTTGCAATCATGCAATCCTGGAAGTGGGTGCAAGTATAGATTCTAAGTCACTTTTCCCAAGGCTGTCATAATTTTGAACTGTTATTAAGTGATCAGTAGTTAGTTGAGAACCACCTGTACTGGGTGTTCTTTCCCCTTCTCCTTCTATTATTACTTTAAAAGACCTTCTACAAAGTGCCTTCCTCCACCATTGTCATGTAAACGAACCTATAAGCTTTCTCAGGAAATTAAAAGCTGAGCAGCTAGAACCCAGTGCTTTGAAGGATACTAAAGTGTTCCCAAAAAAACAAATGTAAGATAGCCAGAGCAACCTATGGAGGACAGGTGTCTAGAAAGGTGGCAGAAAGCAGAAAATGTGTCTTGTAACTGTTTAACTGTTTAACTGTTTAA